TATATATATATATATATATATATATATATATATATATATAAGAAAAACAAAAATATAAAAGTAAGGGTAAAATTGTGTTTTTAAATGGACTAAGGATATGCAGTGTAATTTCTTTTAACAACAGGGATGCATCTTATCAAATTTTTAAAGGCTGGACTAAAAGTATGAATCTGATCAAACTTCAGGGACCAAAACTGTAATTTACTCTTAATTATTTATAATATTAATTAAATAATTATATCTAATTTATACTTTATTCATTTACAATCCATAGTAATGCTCCTATTAACTTTGAATTTTATTTTATGTATTGTTTTCAATCATTAGATTTATTATACCTTTTTAACTTTCAACATTTATTATTCTTTATCTTTACAAGCAAGTTCCGAAAGCATACAAACAAGATTTGGGATTGCGACTCGTACCGGTAAAGCCACATAAATCAAAGATGGCGCACAAAGGAAGAAAGTAGTATTAGCTCGATTTTTGTTACCACGAATGCAAATTATTGTTTAAAAAAATGATGAATTAAAAATAATCACCCAAGTTGAAGGGTGGAATTATGTATAATCGAAAATGGATTTTTTTTTTTACAGTTTGTAATTAAGAACAATATTAAATATAATGTTGGTCAGGAATTGTTTTTTAATTATCCTGTCAGTAATTATTTGTTGTACAATTACATCCCTACAATATTTTACCCCATCAAACAATGCAAAAGAAACCTCTAATCTTCTACTTATTTTCTGCGTTATTTTGCTACTTCAAGGTAAAATCTAGGTCCAATATAGTTTCGGATGATTGTGAATAGCCACTTCAAATTGTTGTATCGTGGAAAACAAACATTGGGTATCTGACAAAATTGTTTTAATAACACCGTATTAAACACGAACCTCAACGTTTTCTGTTTCTTTTTTTTTATATTTTTTTATTTTTGACATTCCGATAATGTATTTTCTACAAATATATATCGTTAAATAGCCCCCCAAAAGTTTTTTAGTTGACTTTATCTAATAAATTGTATTTATCATTACTAATTCATATATTATCCTTTTTATTTAGATAATGGTGATATTACGGAACATTTGGAGATCCATGTGATGCAATTTTCAACAAGGTGAAGCTACAAAACCTTGGCGATGACATTTTGTGGCTTAAACTCAGGCAAAAATGAACGTTGCAAATCGGGAAGTGCGTTGTGTATCGCCATTTGGTGTTTTGTAATCTCAATTCGGTGTTCTCGTAATTTTTTTTTTTTTTTTGTTTTTTTTGTTTTTTTTGTTTTCCATTTGTGTTTTTTTGTTGTGATTACTGTGTTGGCTAGCCTCTGGCTAGTTTGTTCAATACATGGTCGGGGTTTTTGCCGCTGAAAAGAAAAACCTAAAAAGTGTTTGTACTAATTGTTCAAAATATAAATATATATTTACATCTTATTGCTCAATAGTTTGGTTTATGTCGTCCTAATTAATTTTAATGCTTGTGTTTTTTGGTTCTTGTTCAAAATAGTAATAATGTTGGATATCAGTTTTTTAATTTAATGTAGTTTTTACAACTAATCATAATAAGAACTTATTTATTTTTAGTAAAATATATTTATCAATATCTGGTTTATCTGGCTTTTATAAATTTGAGGGCTAAATGCGATAACTCGTTTAGGTTTGATCAGGCTCGTCCCAGAGGGTGAACGATAGGGTGACCGTTCATGGTCCATCTTTTAAAATGGTCCAATTTTTTTTTTATGAAAATTGTTATATTTAGAAGATAGTACAAATAATTTTCTTTCAATTATTAAGTTATTATGAAAAACTTAATGAAATTTATGTATTTTAAGGACCAACTTTTTTTCTCTCGTCCTGAGTCCAAAATATGTTTTAAACGGCTGGGTTTGATGTAAATTTTGAAGACTTGTGATGTTCTATGAACCAAATTTATAGGAATTCCAATTGATTTAATATGGCTTTCATAACTTTAAAGGCATTTAATATTCAATTATATATTGTAGGGTTAGCGTATTGTGGAATACAACACTAGCTTATAAAGTGACCAATTACAACACAATAAAGTGTACGTTGTACCATTTTTAAAGGTGACGTGCAAAAAATGTGGAGCCTCTAAATTTTATTAAAAGTAATATCCATATTGTATTTATCAAGTTAGGTTGTAGTAATTAGAAATTTCTTTTACCTGAAGTATTACACATTGAATTAAAATTTGGATGTTGATAGATTAAAAAGGGAAAAATGGGATATTAGTCTAATAATATATTTCAAATTTGTTCATTCCGCCTCTTAAAGTTATTTTTATTTTTTATGAGAGAATAAAACTGATGGTAACCTGTCCATTTAGTCACCTGAATGTCCTTTAGCCGGTTAATAACGCTACATAAGCAAATTAAGCCACATAAGCTTTGACGTGGAGCAAACAAAGTCGTTTTGAATATGGCGTCTTATTCTCCAAGCTTCCAAGTGTTCATTACGTGAGTGCCTATAAAATAATTCTTCGTGCCCTAAAAGGGTCATAGCCACAAAGTTTGTTTCCCTAATTCTACACAATATTTCCTACCCTAACTACGTCAAAATGCCTTATGTTACCTCTCTACACCACAACTGGTTTTTCCAAGATCGTTGTCACATCGACGAGAATGACTCAAATGGAGCCCGACCTCAAGAAATCCAGATAACACTCCTCCAACTGCAGGTAGTGGACTCCCTTACCAGGGAAGAAATGAATGGGAACGTACGTGAGCTAAGGGAAAATTTGTGTAGGGAGATGGATGCGCTAAATCGTGAAGTCGAGGATGTCAGGGCAAGACAGTTGGATGTGTCACACATGACTGACGACCTCAGGAACCACTTTTTTCCCACTGCAGCCTTCGCATGTAAAGGTAATGGCTGAGGTAATGCGATAAAGAAGATGATGAGTGCATTGAAAGGTTTATTTGGGGTGTTAGTTATTGTGGGTGAGGTGATGGCAGCCTATAACTACTTCTGTTGATGGAGTAGTTAGTTAGTTTTCTTTGTTTGGGTTTTGGTTTTTTAGGGTAAATGATTATCTACATATTGTTTGCTTATTTTATTAAAGTTCAAGGCATGTTGTCAGACCCAAATATGATCCTTGAACATGTGTAGTTCTATTTTAAGGAAAACTTTATTTTTGTTTTATGTGCAGTTTTGGGACCACGTTGTCTAAAGGTTTTGAACCGCTAAATATGCTAAAGAATGGGACATCAGAGCCCCTCAAACCACACGACTGCAGAACACAATAAACTAACCAAATTTGCACATGGACAAAAAAGTTGTAAAAGGGAATAAAAACAAAAGGGATTATAGTGAATACAAGTGTTTCTAATGTGTCCTTTTCCCAAATCTGTAAAGGTTTGGGTGGCATCTGGATATACGTCCAATAATGTAAAAGGGGCAAACAAAACCTTTGAGTCAACACCTAAATTGTTTTTGACCATATATGGGACCACTTTGGTAAGGTCAAATATGAAAAAAAAAACTTTTCAACTGTTCAACACCTAATTTCTTATACCCATGTTTGTAATTTTTGAAGGGACCACAAGTATAATGTCATTTGCAATTATTCATTTCTAATTTAAGGGGTAATTATGGAAACAATTTATACCAACATTTCAAATAGACAATTTAAATACAACCATGAAAGGAAATTGCACTCATTGTTTACAAAAAAACTATAAGTAAAAATTACATAAATACCCCTGCCCCCTAACAACCTTTTACCAGCTTCCATAAATACTCATTCCCCCAAACCCCGTACACCCAAACTAATCCAAATCTATAGCTTTTTATGCGCTACTACCTTCACCTTCAACTCTTTTTGCCAACTTCAATTTAAGGATTCTATAGTACCAACCTCCACTTCATCTTTATTAACCCTAACATATTGATCAACTTCATCATCCATAATAACATCTTGCCCAACCCCTTCCATGTTTACTGACTCTTGTGTTTGTCTCACATGAAGTCTTTTCCTAACACTTGTTTTAGGTGGCCTTTCAACTTGTGTACACGTGGTCTTGTTGTGTCCTCTCTGTTTGCATATACCATAAGATACATGTTTCTTGCCTTTGATACAGTGTGTCTTCTAGTACTTTAAGAATCATGTCTTCTTCTCTTCATGGTTGGCCTACCTAGCATCCTTCTTTTCATTATGGGAAAAGGAGGCATGTATTCTATAGGAGGCCGCATGTTACTTCCATTCATCCCATATATGGGGCAGTTGTAAGAGTTATGGTACAATGAAACCATGTACATTGGGTCTACATATTCTAACTCATTCTTACAGTTTTAGAATAATAATGTTGCAACTTAATGCAAACATCCATACCCATTTAATCGTCATAACATGCATGTGCATTCCTTCTTCTACACATCAACAATATAAGACCGATCCATGTTTCTTGTTTCAAACTTCATCACCCTATAGGAAAGTACTTGCCAGACCCTAAAGTCAGTCAATGAAATTCATTAGTGGTCAAACTTGTAAAGTATTAATTAATTTATATACTTACATACCTTTACTTAATTTTTAACAAATTCAACTTGTCCATGATGTCTGTACATATATTGTTACGATTCCATCCTTGTCCTTTAACTTGCATCTTCACCATCCTTTGTATGACATAAATATGGATATCCTATGACATATTGATAATGAGTTTCTTCCTAGAATCCATTATAACACTATCGAAGCTTTTTAGTATCCATTCTACACATATTCACAAGAAGCATGGTGAACTCTGAAGAAATCCAAACACCATGTCATAGGATCCCTCTCCATAAGATGAATAAAGGAAACATGGTTTATTTGTTGAATCTCCTTCATGGCTGCATTGCAATGTTCTTCAGTGGTTGCTTTATTGGCCCTCCCAAAAAATATTCTCAAATTGTGCTCTAGGAAATGTTTTTCTAAAGTTAGCTTAGATATGCCTTACACGCTACCTGTATTCTGTTGTTGGTAAGACCTCATTCATTGCCTCAACCAATCCCTACATATATAGCATGATATGATGAAGTTAGAATGGCATACAATGTATTGAAATACAACAACAAAATGAACCATACCTTGTGTTTATCATATATAAAACTAGACCATTTCCTTGAATGCCAATGTTCAAATCTTCCATAATATTGTCAATAAACAATTTCTAATTATCTTTGTTCTCTACACATACAACTGCCCAAGCAATTGGGAATATGCCATTGCTAGCATCCCTACCCACATCACAAAATAACTCATCATGGCAATAACTTTTTAAAAAATGACCATCAAGGTTAATTATCCTTTTATACCATTGAGGAACTGCCCTTTGAGGACCCATTTTCCACTTAATTTTTAAGGACCTCACACTTGATTTTCACAAATTTCTAACATAATTAATATGATTAGATAACTAATTATCCTAAAAATTAACTAAAAATGCAAAAATTAAACTAAATGCAAAAATGAAAAGAAATCTCAAACCCCGGGTTGTCTCTCGAGAAGCGCTTCTTTTTATTGGAGTCATGAGCCAGACTCCGTGCCACCTCACATTGAACTTGTCGGAGTGTCCCCCACCATTTGTATCTTTTGTTCCTTCCACCTTCTTTAGTACGCTTGAACTCGTCTAATATATGCATTTTTAGAATTTTCTTTTTTAACCCTTGCATCATTCTCTTCAAGCTTCCTCTTAATTCCCTTATTTTCCACCGGATGAGGTTTTGCTTTTGCTTCATTTTTTAGCTCCACGGGTACCATCTTTTTGGCCAACGTTAGTATCTTTTCTTCGGAGGTAACCTCGTCTTCATCACTTGATACCAAGTGCTCACATTCCTCACTCACCAAAGATGTTGGAGTTTTATAAGCAATTACTTCAAAAACAAGTGGAACGGATGCTTTTGGTTTGGTGTGTTTAACTTGTTGAATTGACTTAAGTTCTTCTTCCATTAATTTTTTCCAATTCTTCAAGTTCATTTTCTTCATCGATATTGAAAACTTCACCTTGAACATCTTTGCCTTGAAAACCATCTTCTACTCCAAAGGTAGCTTCATCATCTCCAACTCTCAAAGCAAGTTTGGACTCACACATATCAACCAAGGCTCTAGCATTATTTAACAAAGGGCGACCAAGAATTATTGGGACATTGTTGTCTTCTTTCATGTCCATTACGACAAAGTCAATTGGAAAAATGAATTTCCCAATTTTCACCAAAATATCTTCTACAATGCCTTTAGGATACGTCACTGAACGGTTAGCCATGTGAATTGTCATTCTTGTAGCCTTTAAATCCGGAAGATTTAGCTTTTGATAGAACGAGTAACGAATTAGATTTATGCTAGCTCCAGAATTAGCTAAAGGATAAGTCTTCACATTATTCCCAAACTCACATGGAAAAGTGAGGCGTCCAGGATCTCCCATCTTCTTTGGTAACTCTCCCATAATCACCTTAGAACTTTTCTCGCTAAGAATTACCTTGGAATTCTTCTCTAGCTGCTGGCGAGTGTCAAGTAGATCTTGCAAGAATTTGGCATATTCAAGAACCTTAGATAATGAATCAATGAAAGGAGTATTAGTTGAAATAGCCTTCACTTGTTCCATAAACTTCAAATGCTCCTGCTCCAGTGGATGGATATGAGCTCGTGATGGAAACGGAAGCGGAGGACGATAAGCTTGCACATTATCAAAGCTTTTCTGATCAGACCCTGCCCACGTCGTGGGTTCGGTGTTTCAGTGTAACATACACGTTCAGTTATCGTGTTTTGTAATTTAAAAGTGAATAATATTATGAAATATTATGAAATATTATGTGAATTTGAGCGTTGAGTTCTAACAGATAGTTTTTACTAGAATTGAAGTAAAACTATGTTTAGAATCATTCAGAAAGTATTGGAAGTCTTATGAGATTCCAATCAAATGTCAGCTATTGAAATTTAACGAAAATATAAAATTTGAAAATAAGTAAAATTATTATTGAAAGTTGTAAAGAATCTCGTTATAAATATTTAGGCGAAAACCTCATCGAAATCCGAGTTATAACAAAGAAGTTATGACTATTTGAAGTTTCGCGATAGAACCGGCATGACGTCGTATGACATAAAAAGTGAGTTTTTGATAAACTACTTTTTAGCTTTAGTAATCTAAATGAAAGTCGTAGTATTCATTAAACCGATAATTTTCATAAAAAGAACGTCCAAATCTGACTTCGTATGAGGAAGTTATGATTTTTCTAAGTTTCGGTATAGCAGTATACAGCTAAAAACTCGAAATAAAGATCGAGTGAGTTTTAGCCGACACAACCTAAATGAGAATCAAAGATCTCATTAATAATAGTACAATGGTAAAAAGACAGACGAAATTGGATGACAGATGAAGAAGTTATGAATTTTTAACGGACTTTTCCTGTCCCGGCTCGTTAAAAATATAACTTTAAAAATAAAGTCAAAATTAGCCGACGGAGTCTAAACGAATGTTGTAGAGTATCATCTCACCTACGCTTGGATATAAAGAACGTCAAAAACGGAGCTCGTATGCAAAAGATATGGATTTTAGAAGTTTGATAAATCAAAGTACGCCCAGCGTACTCGTGTAAGAGACCTAGAGTCCGTCACCCTCCCTATTCTTTCGCAAGAGTGCCACGTGTCGTAGGCTTGACGCGTCTGATCTCATCCACCTCGTACGCCCAGCGTAGTATACCGCCTTGCTGTACGCCCAGCGTGCCGGAGATTTACGCCCAGCGTAATGTGAACTGTCGGACCCTATAAATAGCAAACGAAGGCAGCCGAATTTTGTTTACAAATTTCAATCTCTCTCACCCTTTACACTCTCTAAAATTACCCTAACACCCCCCGAAGCCTAGGAAACATCCCCGACACCCGAAGCAAGTCCCGACGCT